TTAGACATCTATTTTTTTAAGAAAGTGGTTTATATTTTTTAAATATGATAAAATGTTTAAGTTCATATTTTAAAAGTTGGTGAAATCTGATTTATATAAATTTTGCATCTGGTTTTTTTAGACAACAAAAATATCAGTATGGTCAAATATTAACTCATTTCACTTTTGTATTAATAACAAATTTATTTATACAGTAGTCCTGAATAGACATAAGAACTTCTTAGCATTGTCTTTTAAGAAAACTATCATAACCCCAAAAGTATGCTGGAAAAGTATAAAAAGTCAGAGGGAAAGAACTTCAGTTTAGTCCCACTTTCTGGTATGTCCTCAGTCACCTTCTTTCCTGTTTCTAAGATTATGATTTTTATTATAACTACTTTAGTTTTAAAATGGCAACATATTAACAATCATTGATATAGGCTTTTCAATTTGTCCAAAATTATGCATTGTAAGTGGAATGAAGCAGTATTTCCAGTTGACAAATGGATCTATGGGTAACATAGGCTCATTCACATAGGAAGTTATTCGAATAGCCTGTAGCAAGGTAATAACTTCCGACTAAGAGGTTATAAGAGCCATAAATAAAATTATCATCATGGAAAGTGACAGGCAGTAGTAACTCTGACTGCTGACATACACAGGACACATTGGTAAGAATAAATATTCCGTGCCTTCAGGCTGTGGTAGATACCTGGTTCTCCCAAAACATAAGCAAGAACTGAAATCCAAATCAAAATTACTGCAAAGAAATAAAACTTCTGACATTCAGATGAAAGCTTGGTAAGTTTAGAGAACTTCAGGCAAAAATAATCTATACAAAATATTAAGAAGATTGGATAATGCAAAAAGCCATAAGGAAATAATTTGAGCAAAGAGGCAGATATGAAATTTAGTAAGTAAATCTAATACCTAAAAGTACAAAATCCCTGAAATAGTATATAATGGAAATGTTTACCAAAAATAAAAAAAATTAACAAATGCTAATTGAAACACAAAAACATTCCATAAATTTTGATAGCTGTTTTTCTTCTCATTGCTAATGTGAGGATATTTAGTAATATTTTCCCAAGTACAATCAAGAACAACAGACAAGAAGCATCTAGACACTGATTTGATGTAAATGTACTGAAGGGAGTTGTCTGAAGAAACAGGTGTCATATTTTTAGTTAAATTTCAAGACCTGCTGAAAAATACATGATAAAACACTGCTTCACTTATTTTCTATTCTCTCCAAGGTCTTCCTAACCAGTGATTCTCCTATTTGATTTTGATTTTGCTGCCTTCCATTATGTCACTGTTGGTTCATGGCATTTCATTTTGCTATGCCAAAATGCCACGTAAGTTTTCCCTTGCTGGTGTGGGTTACCTCTGGAAGTTGAGTTGCTGGCGCTCCTCACCGGGCTCCAGGTCACACCTTCCTCCACAGTCAGCAAGCACAAACCACCAGCTGGAGCTCTCGCCCCAGACCTGCGCCACACGCAGGGGCCCCACCAGGCCCGCCACAAGGTCACCACCTAGACATCTATTGTTTTTTTTGGTACCAGAGATCGAACTCAGGTCCTTTTGCTTGTGAGGCAGGCAGCAGAACCACTGAGCTAAATCCCCAGCCTTAGATATCCATTTTTAACAGTAAACTTCTATTAATCCAAAAGAAACCTTGGAAATAGTTCCTATGTGGGAAGGTAAGCTATTCATCCAGTGTGCACAGACGGAGGGAAAGCCAGTGGTATAGACAGGCCTAGATCTCCCTGAAGAAAGACCCTGTGCTCTAACTCCAAGGCAGCGCCTCATACCAGGGGCCTCAGTGTGGATCCTAAGACATAACACAGGCAGGGCAGGAAGGGAGAGGCAGCTGGGCCAGTGCACCAGGAGCTGCTGGCGAGCGGAGCCAAGCCTTCTTGGCCTGCGACAAGAACCATGAGTGTTTTCATTGCAACCTGTCATCTTTTAGGTTCCTGCTCAGGCCAGAACGCAGCTCCAGGGCAGAACATGGGCCTAGGATGTGCAAGGCCTGGGTCCATCCCCAGCATCACAACACCAAGCTCGCATCCGCTGGTCTTAGTCTAGAAATGTAACTTAAGAGAGTGAAGACCTGGGTGCTCTGTGAACTGGTCCTCATCCCCCAAACCGTGGAAATAACCCAAACCCACAAAGGCAGCTGCTGAATAAACAACCCCATCAATCTGGTGGAATAGATGGAGCCAGTGGGTATGCACTAGCATATTATGATCCAAAATTATAGAAAAACAAGATAGAAAAGAAACATTCAAATGTAGGTAGTAATAATGTCTGGAAACGAAATTTTGATTTATTCATTTCTTTAAACTTTCCTGTTTCCCCAAATTTGTCACGAGTACATTGTTATAATAAAAAGCCAATTTATAAAATAAAAGGCAAAGGATCTCTCCCTGTTAGGCTTAGCACCTCACTCTCTGCATGAGGTGAGGGTGTGTGGACACCCCCAGGTCACACACACTGACTCACCTGTCACACCATCTCAGCAGCTGACTTCCAAGGCACAACACGGCGACAACAGCATCACAAAACACATCACTACAGTGTACTAAAATAAGGTTATTTACTTAAAAATGATACACTGGACATAATCTGTATACAGAACAAAGCAGTTAATGGTAAACTGAATAAGGCACCCTTTAAAGCAGATGCTGTACAAAATACATTTAGTGTGTTACGTATCAAAGATCTGGATTTTTGGTGTTTTACAACTGCATAATAAAACTGCTTGTTTTTACCCTTTTCAATGCCTATGTACAGTTTCCCTAATTAGCTCTAATGATATTTTCATTTTATACAACATATACTACATCTTAGTTTTCAGTGGGAAAGGATAAAGGTCACTAAAAGAGTTTAAATAATTCCATGAAGTAGAGGAAACAGCACAGCTAGCATTACCATGACTCAGTTCACCTTCTGCAAATGTCGTATTCACACTCCCCACGGGTGGCCCTGATAGGAGGGTCTACTTGCTTCTGCCCTACACTTAATCTGGTTCTTTTTTTCTTTTAGTTTTTGAGAAAAGGTCTCGCTATGTAATCTAGGCTGTCCTTGAACTACATAGCCCAGGCTGGCCTCAAACTCGAGGCGATCCTCCTGCCTCAGCCTCCGGAGTGCTGTACCGGTGTGCAGTACCACACTTGGCTTAATCTGACTTTTGTGATGCATGTGCCCTCTTTGCAGTTCCCACCATGACTCTGCTCACAGCACTGGGGCACAAAGATGAACTGCTGCCTGCTGTGTTGGCAATCTGACACCAGGCTCCTGAAGTATTACCACTTTCCAACAGAACAAGGCTGCAACCATCTTTTGGTAAATCAATTTTCTGTGACTAAAGTTATTTTGCATATTTAGAAATACTCCAAAACATATATGGAAAGAAATGTGTTCTAAATTTATAAAAGTAGTCCTGAGATAAACTCTTTACTATCAGATTTACCTTGGGCTGACTCAGAGATGCATGATTCCTTAAAAACTGGGATTTTGGGGGGGTCGGGGATTTAGCTCAGTGGTTCTGCTGCCTGCCTTGCAAGCGCAAGGTCCCAAGTTCAATACCTGGTACAAAAAAACGAGTTTTTTTGGTTCTAACCAGAAAATAGAACCTGAAAAAAAAAAAGGTACTGTATATTTGTTATAAGAGTGAATAAATAAAAACCTGGCACATTCTAGGAAAACATAATTTACAAAAAATATAGGTCATTTTTCTAAGTTTAGAAGCACTGTGGAATACAGGCAATGCAACACTGAACAAAACTGGAGTATTTCGGAGAGGTCAACTCAGGCGCCCCCCAGAGGCCAAACTCAGGACGCAGGCGCAGCAGGCTGCGAGGAGTCCGCCTGCCAGAGGTAAAAGGTATGAGACAACTGGAAAGGAGTCATGTGTGCCTTGAATTCTGAAGACAGAGGCCAGCACAAAAATTCACAAGGAGAATTTTGTTTGACCGTTAATTTTTGCTACTTATTTTCAAATAGTCTGTGAGGTTTTCTAGTTTGTATATGTATTTTAATTATTTAAATGAACGACTGACTGAAGCCATACATTGTTAAAATGCTAAAACTCTAAGGATCAAATAATGGCTTCCAGGGTTTTACAAATTATTAACTACAGTAAAGAAAATACATTCTCTTGTTGGATTTTGGATATTTCACTTACTGGATGAACTTGAAATTTAAGAGGACAGTAAGTTTCACGCAACATTTTCATATTAAAATCTAAAAATTATAAATATGGCAGCATTTGCTTTTTTCCTTTTTTTTTTTTTGATACCAGGAATGAACTCAGGACTTTGCGCTTGCAAAGCAGGTGGCGGAACCACTGAGCTAAATCCCTGGCTCCAGCATTTGCATTTTAAAAAACATGTTATAAAGAAAATGTTTTCATTAACCAAAACTAAGGTTAATTCTTGATGTCATTTGCTAGGCCAAGTTAATTTTAAAAACTCATAGTAGTGATTTATACTGTCTCTGTCATCTGTTTTGCCTCCACATACAGAGCTCACTAGTTCTAAGGATGAATTGGCATTTTTTACATATTTTTTGATTAAGGTGACAAATTGCTTTCAAGACAAAGTTTACCAGGGGAAAAATAAATCAAAATTAACCTGAAGTAAATCAGATCTTGCAAGTATTCTCAAATCACAGTGATTGTGATTACAATATCTGTGCTTCTCCACAGGGAGAGGGAGCCACATTCTAGAAGAGCACATTAGTGGATGCTATCAATATGCAGATTTAAACCTTTATGTTAAATGAAACTTATTAAACACATGATTAAGGCAAGCTTCAACTTTGTGAAATCTGGTATAAGGACAATATCTTAAATTTTAGACTTAAATGACAGTCAAGATTTTGGTGATGGATGGATAGATGGATGCTCTGATTTCCCCCGTTGAATTCGAACCTTTTTGGTCATGTTGTGATACAGTCACACTGATTTCCTGTTATATTCAAAAGGTATTGTCTCACTGGATGCCCTCATGAGTTTGTTGCTGAGAATAAGAGACAAACATTTCAAAGGTGTTACAGAAGCATAGTTAAGTTTAGGAGACTCAGTATTCCTCAGATAACAAGACCTCTACTGTATATAAAATTGATATCATTTTCTTGAGTAAGAGCTACTTGGCACAGACAGGAGTTCTACACACCTCTGCCTTCATCTTCACTAGTTAGGGACCAGAAACAAAACCTCAAAAAGTCTCAAATGAGGGCTGGGGATTTAGCTCAATGGTTCTGCCACCTGCCTCGCAAGTGCAAGGTTCAGAGTTCAATCTCTGGTACCAAAAAAAAAAAAAAAGTCTCAAATGATTTAGATGTCTAAAACATATTAAGAGTATGGATCAATTTGTATCAGCTCTGACACATAAATCTGTAATTATAGAATCCTTTAGCAAAGGACCACTGAGATGATACTATCTCAATGAAGTCTTTGCCTGAAGTTGCTCATTACTCCGAAAGTTCCTATGTGTTCAACCTACACCTCCTGCCCCCAAGGACAAGACATGAGGCTCCATGAGCCGGCAGCTGTAGCGTGAATGTATGTAACATACCTAAACTCGGCTGGAAAGGAGGGGGTTTGCAAGTAAAGCACATTACACGCACAACATAAATAACTTCCCTTTTAAAAGATACTGTGCATAAAGGATGCAGAATATGATTTAGGCACTTACATCGCTACCAGATGCAGTAATTCACTTCAATCAGAAGTGGTTGCTTTATCAACATGGTTTGTGGCACTGAAAGCTTTGGAGAGGATGCTTTACATGACAAAATAATAATCACAAAAAATGAAAAAGGATGGCAGCAGGAAAAAACAACCAGTCCAAATTTACAGACACTTTAAACTTCTTTTGGCCTTACAGCAACTATTATGTTAAAAGACAAAGTTGCTGGGGAAGCTACCTCACTTGCAAGACAAATGGCTACGATAAACTGGCAAATGTTGGCCACATATTGCATTTTTAAAGCACAAAACCACCAGCCACCAGGCTCTTCCTGTGCACTCGTAAATCTTCTTTTTCTTCTAATTCCATGGCAGCAGAGGTATCCTGGCACATGAGAGCACACACACCAGTATCCAGAAAGGCAGGACACACTGTTGTCAGCTTAGCGGCAGCCCAAGGAACTCATCATCCAGAGGCTGTTTTACACAGGCAGAATACAAACAGACTACATCTCTCAGGTAGAAGGCAGAAGTGTGTTTTTCCATCTCTGCTGCTCAGTTAGTTAGCTTCTTACGGCTTTCACAGAAAGCACCACTTAGGAATAGGCAATTCAGTACACAGAGTTCAACTGGAGACTTAAGAATCACAACTGGAGTCTTGATGCAGCTCATAAAAACACAATTAAAAAGGCATCAAAAACCACATTTAGAATACAGCTGTCCGTGTGGAGAGAACACAGGGTCCAGAACCCCAGCGGTATCCTGAAGAGCATGGCAGGGCAACGTTAGCAGCCTGTGAAGGTAAGGGAGGAGGGGGCACACACGCAGGTTCCGCAGTGCCCTGGAGACAGTCGTGCCCCTCCCACCTGTGCAGGTGTCAGATCTTCACATCCTGGGACTCCACCATCTTGGCAAGTGTCTTCTTGATCCTCAGTGCAGTCAGCCTGGAGGCCGGGTTGTGGGCCCAGCACTCAGACATGAGCTTCAGGACTGCGCGCAGACACTGGGAGGGAAGAGCATGTGTTGAACAGCAGCCCCTGGTGCCACCCACTCCACCGCCCCAGGGCCAAGTCCACTCACCTCATCACTGTTCCATCGGTTGGACACCAGTGGCCGCAGGCGTTTGACACACACAACCTCCCGCATGTCCTCGTAGGATGGGTCACTGGGGACCATGTTGTAGTATGGCAGCTGGTACTCCTCCACGATGCCTGCAGAAGGAACACAGCATGGTGAGCACAGGGAAGCCAAGTCCCCTGGGCCTCTCACTGAGCTGGCAATAAAAACTGACTCTGCTACATGATGAAGAAAAAAGTAGGACCAGGGGACGAGCTCGCATAGTAAATCCACAATTCCCTCTTACGTCCCATTATTTCCTCTCCCTCTACCAGGGAGCCCATTACAGTGTGATGGAGGGCATATTAATATTCCTTAAGAAAAAAAGATGGCAACAAGAAATCCACTCATTTTTGAATTCCAACCTTAATCTAAGTTACCTATTTAAATAACCATTCCTGCTTTGGTGGGGGGCGGGTTTGAAACAGGGTCTCACTATGCAGTTTGGGCTGACCCTGAACTCATGGCAACCTTCCTGCTCTCACCTTCCTGAGTGCTAGGATTACAGGTGTGCACCACCACACCCAGCCATAGCCACTCCTACTGATGCATGCAGTCTGTTCGTTTGTCTCATTGTGCTTGGCAGGAGACCGTGACCGTGATGCACAGATAGAGCACTCACACAGCAGCCTGAGCCTGTTCTCCTCAGAAAGTTACACGGAACCTGTCCTGACAGGACAGACACCTTCCCTGTGGAGCAGGCAGCACACCGTCCCCAAAAAGTCTATGCAAACTATATGGTGTGCATGAACACTGCTCTCCTTCGGGATGCTGGACTGGATCCTGCTGGGGATGGACACAAGGAGGACAGGTCTCCAACATAGCTAAGGTGCTGGTTCTTTTACTATGGAGCTTCCCCCACCATACCACACACGGAACTAACTCGCTGTGGGGTGAAGATGCTTGGAGAGACTGGAAGCATGTGGCTCCAAGCCTACCTCCCGTGACGCAGCGGCGGGCCATCTCCCAGATGATCAGGCCAAAGCTGTAAATGTCGGCCATGATGTAGGGCTGGAAGTGATTTTTGTTCAGGCTTTCATCTAGCACCTCTGGAGCCATGTAGCGCTTGGTACCCACTCTGGTATTCAAAGGCACATCGACTTCATTCGTGTCACTGGAACAGGAAGGGACAAGGTCCAGGGTGAAGACAAGGAACAGCGTATCTGCTATACTGTCCTATTTTATAGAAATTTAGTATATGTATGTATACAATCCTTTATCAGAAATACTTGGGGCCAGATGTACTAGGAAACAGAGTACCTCTGGCTTTGAGGAAAGCAGTATGCCCTTAAACACACATCACACATACAGAACGTGGCCAGCAGCACGGCGCAGGACCCTGACCTCTTCCCAGGCAGCGGTGAACACAAGGTGCCCCACACACCCCAGCTTTACAGAAACAATGGGGGCCCTGCGTTAGGACAGAACAGGGCCTGTTCCCAAGGAAGACCAGGGCCTAAGAAAGAAGGCAGCACCAAATAGAAGAAAGTGCAGATAACCATATCCAAGAAGAGTGAATGTGAAAATAAATGGAGAGAGGAATCACTTGTTTTTATCATCTCACAGGGTATGTTCAGTCTTTGAGACACAGGACTACATTTTATTCTTCAGAGCCAACTAGTCCTGCTATGAGTAGTGTTTCTACAACATACTGACAATCAGAGCTATTTGTTTACTAGTTTCTGAATTTTAGGACAGAGTTTTAGCATGAAGACAGGCGTACTCAGCCATGTTTTCCTCTCAGGCACAGACCCACTGAGTGCTGTGCTTAATTACCCAGCACCTGATGCCCATAGCCCTGCATTGACTCAGCACTGTGACGGCAGGGAGGGTGCAGACAGACATTCAGAGCTGTTTATAGACAAGTGCTTCAGATTGTGGCCGGAAATGAATTCTGAAATGTGAAGCTAACCCTACAGCACTGCATTCAAGAACCACTTTGAAATGGCTTCCATGACTCCCAAATTTTTCTCATTCTAACAGTTTTTTACAAAATTGACTATTCTCAAGTGACAGTGGAGAAATGGCACTGCTCTGTCCTATTATAAGAGTGTGACCCACCCAATGCACACTTCCCAAAGGGGTGATCAGCAGTGGACCACAACTTCGTACATGCAAACTGACTCAGAAACCCCTTCTCTAGGGTTCTATCTCGAGAAAATTCTGCACAAGTGCTCAAGGATATAATATATGTACAAATACAATAATGCTCATTATAATATTGGTGTTTATCTTAAATGGAGTAATTTAAATATAAAAAACCTATAATGTTCACTATAATGTTTTTTAGTAATAGATACACAAGAGGCAACCATAATGTCCATTAGATGGGTTATCTGTAGCAACTTAAAGTATATCTGTATTACTGAAAACTTTGTTATCTGTTAAAAAGAATGAAGTCAGTCAGGTATGGTAGTGCAAGTCCCTAATACCAGCTACTTGGGAGGCTGAGTCAGGAGAATCCCAACTTTGAAGCCAGACTGGGCATTTTAGTGAGACTCGGTCTTAAAACAGAATTTGAAAAGGGCTGAGGTATAGTTCAGGGGCAGAGCACTTGCCTAGCCCGTACTAGGGCCTGGGTTCAATCCCCAGTTCTGCCAAAAGAAAACAAAAGCAAGCAAGAGGTAACTCTACACAAAGTGACATAGAAGGATTGTCTATGAAAATAAAAAGTAGGAATTAAAGAATTATGTAGAGTAGGATGTGATTTGTATAAAGAAAACTCCAAAACCCTAATCATGTGTTTATATCACTGTGTAATGAGCACTTACAAATTTTGAGAATGTCCTAAATGCAAATGGGCCCTTTGTGTGTACATGCACGTGTGCACATGTATTACTGGAGATCAAACCCAGTGTGAATTACCAGCAGGCTTTGTCCCCAGTCCTCTTTATTTTTCATTTTGACACAGGGTCTCGCTAAGTCATCCAGGCTGGCTTCACATGTGTAATACTCCTGCCTCACCCTCCTGAGTAGTTAGGATTACAGTTGTGCTCCTGTACCAGGTAGGCAGATATCTTTCAGAAATTAAAATAATTTCAAAACAGTGGGGCAAAGAAATGTCACCTGTTGAATTTAACAGCAAGGCCCAGGTCAGCAATACAGCAACTCCCATTTTTCTTGATGAGGATGTTCTTGCTCTTGAGGTCACGATGCGCAATTGCAGGCTTCCCTTGGGTGCCATAAATCTCTGTGTGGAGGTGGCACAGACCACAGGCAGCAGAATAAGCCAACTTGAGCAGGGCTCTGGTGTCTAGCGTAGCGCACTTCAGGAAGTCGTACAGAGACCCATTTTCGTGGTAATCAGTGATCAAATAGAGCTGTGTCCAGGAACCTGTGCCTTTAATGTCTGCAGCTATGAATCCTGTGTAGTAATGAGTAAAAAAGGTCAGTTTTCACCAGAGGTGCAGGAGGGTCTTGAGTGAGTCAAGAGTGAGCAGGGCACTGACAGCACTCGACATGTGACATGCAGATAGGAATAATTTTAATTTTGCCCAGCAAGATCTCTTAAATGTATTACTAAAAACTTTATTTCTATCACATATATTATACTTCTGCAATAGACTTGTAATAATCTAAACAATAATCATGATATGCATGACCAAGAAAAAGAGTAACTATTATGAAGTAATCTGCAGAATGTCATCAATCTATATGAGTCTCTAGTGGAAAAGGTTCTCACTTTTTAAAAAATATTTTTTTAATTGAGTTTATTGGTACCTTTTAGGTATCCAGTACAGTTACATTAGGCATTGGGATCTTGTACCTTTGTATGACGTATCTTGGTTCTTATTTTGTCCCCATTCCCCTGCCCTCCCTTCACCCCTCCATCCTTCCCTATTTACAAACACTGTTTCCATATTTTCCTTTTCTCATATTTTTTCTTTTCCCTTTTCTTCCCCCTATCCTTCCCATTTCCCCTACTCCTTCACCCCTTTTCTTTCTAATTCACATTAACAATTGTATAATTTGAACCTTATTTACAGTTTTAGTTTTTCACACCAGAAAAACTATTCAGTATTTACATAAGTGAGTCCTATTTCTTTCACTTAAGAGTATGGCTTCAATATGCATCCATTTTCCTATAAATGACTCTAGTTTCCCATGAAAAGGTTCTCACTTTCCCTTTGAAAAGTAGGAGCTTAAAAAAGGGCAGGGAGCACCATGTGGGTTCAACAGTGCTGCCCCAAAGTCTTGTCCACTGAACACCTATGACTGTGACCTTGCTTGGAAACATGGTCTTTGCAGAAGGGAACCAGGCTGGGGCACAGCAGGATTAGAGCGGCCCCGATTCTCTGACTGGTGTCCTTTAAGATGGCAATGTGCACACAGAGAAGGAAGCCGGGTAACAACAGGAGTCTGGAGCGTCATCTCTAAACTAGACTTTTCATAGCCACAGCAGCCAGGCTGAGTGGGAAGGATCCTCCTGCACCTCCAGAGAATACAACCCGACTTGAACTCTGGCCAGTAACAATGACAGAATAGCCCTGTGTTGTTGTGAGCCACCCTGTTCATGGTCATGTGTCACAGCAGCAACGGGAAAGTATGGTGAGCACCTGGTTAGACACACAGCAAGTGCCATGCATTCTCCAGAAAAAGGGTCAGGAAATAGCAGCTGAAAAGATAATTCCAGCAACAAGGTCCACTCATGTGCCCTGCTGGCTGCATCATGCCTATATCACTGCTGCTGTGGAACAAAGTGGGAAAGGCATACACTACACCCAGAACACACACAGACTGCAGGTTGGCTGTTGAGCTTACAAAAGGCAAACTGCATGCGTACTTAAAGAATTACCCTAGAAAACTGCTTGAAGCATCTGTACAAATGTGGCTTTCGCTATTTCACGAGCCTTACCATCCATTCTCTCCAGCAGGGTACCAAACACATGCATGCAGCAGGTACCCAGGGCACCATACTGACCCCAACACAAGGGCACCCACCAAGTATATTCTCGTGGCGCATCAGCACTGTCTGGTAGATCTCCGTTTCTCGGAACCAGCTTGCTTCCTCGGTGGTAAAAAATACTTTGACTGCCACCTTTTCACCACGCCATTTACCCATCCACACTTCTCCATACCGGCCTTTTCCAACCTGCCGGACCATCTGAATCTGTTTGGCAATAGTTCGTTGAACCTTTACAGAACAAAATAAAACGTTTTGAGGTCTTGGTGAAAAGACAAAGAGGTATGACAGTCCATGCCATGAAGACGACTAATACATCTGACCAAACTGCAGTGTTAGAATGCACACCATACTTAACATGAAGAAACAATGTACAATGTATTCTGAAATCATGCAGGAACAGGTAGTGGCTGCAAAAACAGTCAGCCTAGGCAGACCTGGGCTCTGGCTCAGCAAGTGCACTGCAAAGCAAAGATCTGTCAAAGTGTCTATGTGGGGGGCTTGCCCTTTCCCACTATTCCGGGAAGCGTCTCCTAAGCAGCCTCTCACAAGCTGCCAATCTGTGCATCGACTACACCAAGTTGCGCAGGCCATGTAGTGCAGTGCTGAGCTCCTGCCTGGCTTGGGCAAGGCCACAGCTTCATGCCCAGCACCACAGGGAGAGCGGGGCAGAGTCTATGAAAACCCATTGACTTTAGACACCACTTATTAGAGATTCTTTTTGCAATCTTTTTTTTTTTTTTAAAGACTATTAAGGTATTATTTATATACAGTAAAATTCACCCTTTTTGAGAACACTGCACTAAGTTTTGACAAATACATCATCCAATCCCCAGCACTGCATTTAAGATATAGACCACTTCCATCCCTGAAAAAAGTGCCCAAACTGCTCGGTCCCTGGCATCATTGACCTGGTCTCTGTAGCTACAGACCTGCCCTTTTCTGGGGTGTCAGACAAAGAGATGCATTCAACACTCAGCCATTTTTGTCTGGCTTCCTTCATGGAGCACACAAGGCTTTGACGTAATCCATGCTGCTGCTGCTGCTGCAGATATCAGGAGTTGGTTTCTTTTTGCTCATGAGTCGTATTCTATTGTATCCTGATTTTTTTATCCATCTATCAGCTGATGGACTTTGGGGACTATTTCTATGTCTGTTATGCCTGCAACTGCTGTGAACATTCATAGTCAGGTCTCTGTGCAGATGTGTTTTTGTATCTCTCAGGTAGTTAGCAGGAGAACTGAGTCCCTGTACAGAACATACATGGGCTGGACACAGTGGCATGTCTGTAAGCCAGCACTTTGGGAAGCTGAGGCAGGAGAGCAGCGAGTCCAAGACCAGCCTGAGCAACTTAGCAAGACCCTATCTCAACATAAAATAACAGAGAAGAGCTGGCAATGCAGCTCACAGCTAAGGCTTTGGGTTCAATCCTCAGCACCATAAATCAAGCAAGCAAGCAAGCAAGCTTAGCTTTCCAGTCAGCTGTCAATATGTTCAATTTGTCAATCTGAAGCACCAGGGTGGAGGTGGAGCAGTGTCTCATGGTGCTTAATCTTCATGTTCCCAATGCTGTTGAGCATCTTTTTATGCACTCATCTGCCAGTCCTGCACCTTCTTTGAAAAGTGCCTGCTCTTATGACTAAGCTATAAATTTCTCGACATATTCTGCACACAAATCCTTCATTAGATCTACTTTGCCATTTGTGGCTTATCTCTTCACTTTCCTAACAGATTTTCTGCATAGCAAGAATTTTAATTTTTGATGATGCTCATGCCTTTTGCGTGCTAAGATGCCTTTGCTCAACTCAAGGTCACAGGAATTTTCTAAAATACTCTTAGAGATTTTAGAATTTAACCCTTCAATGCCTAGTGATCTATTTTTGGAACACCCATGACAATGGAACATACTACACTGTTCTCTTCAAATTCTTATTCCTTGAACTTTTCTAGGTAACATATATAAAACTCATACAAAAAGTAAAACAACTTCCCTCTTCAACATAAATGGGTTAACATTTAGGTGTCTGTTCCATTACAAATTAGTTTTGTACACATCATGAGATAAGGGACAAGATTCACCTTTTAGCAAATGGGTATTTGAGCCTCCCAGCCATCTGCTGAAGAGACTATCTTTTCACTAGTGAATCACTTGGTATCTTTGTTTACAAAGAAAAATCATCCACCCATGTCTGTGTGTCCCTTCCCAGACTCCGTGCTGCTCTACCCTGTGCTAATGGCAAGCCAAAAACTCCTCTGTATTTCCTTAAAAATCTGAGAATCAGTTTATCAGTTTCTTTAAAATTTGTTTATATTAAAATGAAACTTCCCAGTGGGGTGGTACACTCCTGTAATTGCATTGTTGGGGAGGATGCAGAGGGAGGGAGGATAGGATGGCTAGGTAAGTTCAAGGCAGCCTGAACTACAAAGCCTGACTTTGTTTAAAAAGCAAACAAACAAACACTACATACAACTTTAAAGTAAACTACAGATATAATACTGAGCCCTCTGATTCATAAACAGGATATATATCTTCACTTATTTAGGACTGTATTAATTTTAACAATGTTTTATAATTTCCAATGTGCGGATCTTAAACCTATTTTCTTAAATCTATTCCTAAATATTTCATGTTTCTGATGCCATTTAAAATATCACTTTGTGGGTTGGGGATGTAGCTCAGTGGCATCACCCTGGCAAGCAAAAGGTCTGGAGTTCGATGCCTGGTACCAGAAAAAGAAAAAAAGAAAGAAAGGAAAAAGTAAAATACCTCTTGAGTATTTCCATTTCCAATAGTTTGTTGCTAGTGTGTATAAATTCAGTATTATTTATACAATGATTTTATTCTACAACCTGACAAACTCACTTATTGCTTGCATTAGCTTTATTATATCATTCTTGGGATTTTCCTGAAGTTCTAAACTGGATGTCAATGTATTTATTTCTAGCTAATAAAATTGATTAAAAATCTGGTACAACTGCCGGGTGTGGTGGTGCACGCCTGTAATCCCACGCTCGGGAGACTGAGGCAGGAGGATCGCTTGTGAGTTCAAGACCAGCCTAGGCTACAATGCGAGATCTGGGTCAGTCTCAACTACATAGTGACAATCTATCTCAAAAAACAACAACAACAAAAAAATCTGGTACAAGTTCTGTATGATGAATGTGATCATTATGTATATCTAAACTGTACCAATAAACTTAAATAATTATTTTTTAAAAATCTATTTGGATAACTAGTGTTACTATGGCAGTTCTCTTGACCCCTGAATCTATTTCCATGTATATAAACTTGTTAGATTTATAACCCTCTTTACTTCTGAAATAGTTGTGCTTCCCTCAACCAATGAAAAATCTTACATGCAAAGAATCTTACAACGGACTCCTCTTCATGTTGGCTATTAAAATGCTTAGAGCAGGGCTGTGGATTTAGCTCAGTGGTACCACTGCCTGCCTCACAGCACAAGGTCCCAAGTTCGATCCCTGGAGTATGTATATATACATATATATATATATATATATAGAGAGAGAGAGAGAGAGAGAGAGAGAGAGAGAGAGAGAGAGAGAGAAACTAAAATGCGTAGAGCAAAACTTGTGACTAACTCTTACACTTACATAAGACTCTATAACCTAACCTTCTTTTATTTTTTTAAGATGGGGGTCTCACTATGTAGTTCAGGCTGGCATCGAGCTCACAGCAATCCTTGTGCGCTCAGCCTCCCAAAGGCTGGGATCACAGGCATGCACTGATAAGCCTGGCCTAATCTAGCCTTCTTGCCCTCTATACACACACTTCTTTCTTACTTTGAGCCCTATCTTACTTACCTATTTTATTTTTCTTGGCTCACTTTTTTTTGGGGGGTACTGGAGATTGAACTCGGGTTGCTAAGTGGCCTAGCCTGGGTTTGTCATCCTTCCGCCTCAGTCTCCCAGAGTGCTGGGACTACAGGTGCACACAACTACACCCAGCTATATACATTTCTTACTAAGTCATTTCATCTTGCAGTTCAGCATGCATCCTTCTAGATAAGGAGATGGTGCCTGGCATATGAGCAATAACCACCTCAATCTGCAGTAACAACCCTGCCTGCCTTCCCAGGAGGATGCCTCCCACATCTCCGCATCATTCGTCCTCATAGGAAACACTGGCTCACCAGTAAGGGAAGGCCAGATCCACTCCCAGAGCTCTGTGACTGGTCAATAAGGTCTTTCAGTGACTCTCCCACTGGAATAAAAGCTTCGTCCTGTTCCAAATCACGATTGTAGCGACGTCTGTTTGAGATGCTCTTACAATAGTGTCTTTTAAAAAGCAGAAACAATCTATATTAAAATTCTGAAACCATACAATTCTGAGCTAATATCCACCATCCTTCCTTCCTTCAGGTCTAATTTACACACAGGTCAGTCTTGTCATAGAAAACACCCTGTGTTATACACTAGGAATGGAGCTCACAAGGGTAACTGCTGCATGCTGAGTTGAAGACTGAGATGTTAATGGGGTAGTACTGGCAGTGAAAAAACATCAAATGGCATGTAAAGTATCATCCAAGCTGTTACACAAGTTTTACATATTTGTACACACATAAAGTATCAGAAAAGGTATGCAGTACATGAATACTTTCTGCTATAGATGTTTTCATCTGTGTTTACAACTGCATTGTGTTAAAATGAATAATGAATGTCTGCATTTTGAAAAAAGTATACTTGCAAAAATCAGCCCTTTGCAGAACAAGCTGCCCATACTTTTCACTTGCAGTCTGTCATATGGCTGTTTGTGCTGGTTTTCGCCACATAGTAGTTTTGTTTTGTTGGTACTAGGGATTAAACCTAGGGCTCTTGTACTGAGCTACTTCCCAAGTTCTTAAATTTTTTTTTTTTATTTTGTGAAAGGCTAGGCTTGAACTTGCACTTCTCCTGCTTCATTTTCCCAGGGTGCTGGGACAATGTAGCTTTATTTTTATGTAGCTAATACTATTTTATCTACCTACCTACTATATTTATTTGATTCCAAGTTTTGTTATCAGAAAATTCTTCCAAACTCTGAGATTCATTTTATTATATACATGTATAATTCTGATCTTGCTCAAATTTATTTCAGTGCAAGAACTGTTCCAATTTCATTTTTCCCATCTATCAGTAGCTACCTAGTCTCAAATCCATTTACTGAATGAGACACCTTTCTCCTTAGTGATCTGAAATGTTACCTTTGTAATATACAAAACTTGTTGGACTGGGGATTTAGCTCAGTAGTTCTGCCACCTGCCTTGCAAGCACAAGGTCCCGAGTTCGATTTCCAGTGCAAAAAACAAAAAAACAAAAAATCAAACTTGCTAACCTAATTCAATGATCTCTCTATATTACCCCATTTTTATGACGATGTTTATTATTGAAGTTGATGTCTGGTAGGGGCTGTCCCCTCTATTCTTCTTTAGGGCAACTGTAAAGTGATTGAGTGTAAACATTTCTGAAGCTGCTAATTACTAAAGAATATAAGGTAGCTGGTTTCTAGGGACAGGGTGCAAAAATTCAGACATAATAAAGTTCACTATTTCAAACAAGCAAACTGAATATGGAGGAACACAGAAGTATAAAATTGTGTTCAATTAATTAATTGGTAGTAACACCCTTTTCCTCTTAAAAAATTAGTCTAGTTAACTTAAGGAGATATTTTCTTCTATTTTATTTTATTTTACTGAAGATATTACCAAAGAATACAAATTAACAGTTTCTGAATCACCTACACAATCAGTGGTTTTTCTGCCAATGGTTTTAAAACTGTCAATATCTAATAGTTAAAGTATTTTTCTTACTTATAACAAAAACAGCTTGAGAAGATGATCATAGCAATTATGCAGACTGCCATGGAAATGAGCACAACCAGCCATCGAATGCTGCCATCAAAAAATGGACCTGCCAACAGAGGTAGACAATGAAATAAACAGCATCTTTCCACATTCATCAAAAGGAAAAACAACACAGTGTGCTAAATTCCACGCATCTTAAAGGTTACTGCTAAAACCAGAATAAATATGTAACAGAGAACCACGGCTAACCTACCCATAACGACAGGGGGCAGTGTAGGCTGCAAATACTGGTTACACAGATTGGTCCGACAACATTCTATTGTCCGGCGAGGCTGGGCTTTTGGAGAATCCTAAAGGAAGAGCAATGGTAAAATTGGAAATGGTTGCATGTATTAACTGATAACGAACTTTTAAAAATACCAATAAAATACAATTTCTTATTCAGTAAGTGAAAAGGATCTTCAAATTTTCAAAAATATTAAAATTTTGTGTTGAAACACTGTTTTGGAGACTGTTAAAATGGGTTTCCTTAAAGAGAATGTAAATGTTAATGGTATATTAAAACACCAGACTATAACCTAAATTACCAGCAAATAAAACTTTCAAAATATTTTTTCATAACAAACATTAGCATATCTTAATAAATTACTATACAAATTGCTTTAGTAAAAAAGTAATTAAAGTCATGGTGGCTTTTCCTAAAAAAGAGGGGTAATAAATTTTATCAAGCCGGGCGTGGTGGCGCACGCCTGTAATCAGTACTCAGGAGGCTGAGGCAGGAGGATTGCTGTGAGTTCAAGAGCAGCCTGGGCTACATAGTGAGTTCTAGGTCAGTCTCAACTACATAGTGAGACCCTGTCTCAAAAAACAAAACAAAAAACTAATTTTATCAAAATGATAAATTAGTATGGAAAATATAGTAGCCCACAGTACTGAGACTTGGATGAGGCTTAACAATCAGACTAAAATGTCTAAAAGAAAGACTGATGAAGAGGTGGCTGAGTACATAAAAGATTACCATAGAGGGCTGGGGATTAGCTCAGTGGTTCTGCCACATGCCTCAAAAGCAAAAGGTCCAGTGTTCAATCCCCGGTACAAAAAAAAAAAAAATTACTGTAGAGTTTTAATTATGATGGAACTAACTAACCTGCTATGGAACCAAGTTAAAGCACATGAAGAAAAGGGCAAAATACAGAAAATCTGTTTCTGAGAGTCTGGTAGAGACCACCAACCAAACAGGAGATGGGCCCCTACCTGGTCAGAAAATTAGCAGGAGTCATAGAATAGAATCAACAATTATATGTGATGATTATTTGATTAGCAATTCAATGTAAGCAAGCTGAATGCTGATGGTACAGCACTGCCTGGGAAAAATGCCATTCTGGACCAAAATACTAACAGAAGGCAACTGTCATTTTTATAAGAGTAGCAAGAAAATAAACAGAAACCAACCACATTATCTTAAGTATCAGATGGCCAGAAAGGAAAAGCATCATATACTCAGGTTTTACATTACAGAGATAAACACAAGTCCAAAACTTGAGATTGCACTTATAATGATGGTCTAGAGCATTTTGATACTTTATTTTTTAAACTGAGTATTCTTACTTTTTAAACAAAATTTCCTTTGAAATGACCACACAGAGAAAAACAGGTATGTTAGGGGTTACACTGGAGACCCTGAAATACAGATCTAGACAAGACTTGCAAGGGAGGATGGGATAGACAGCATATGATTAAAGATGAATAACAGTTAAAGATGAATAACAGAAGTGTCAAGTAACAAGGAGTAGTTCCAGGAAGGCTGCAATGAGCTCAGCCTTGCAAAAGAGAAAGTGCAAAGTAAAACCAAGCAAGGGCTTCTCAGTGCCAAGAAGACTACCAAGCAATATTGCTCACCTAACAGGGGATGAAGGAACACAAGGAAATATAATCCCTCGACTCCTATTGTTCTGTCTTCTCTACTGAGACTGTTACAGGAATGAAGAAGGTGAACTAAATACGAGGGAATGGGAACTGATAACCCAGAGGTCTGATGAGATCTTACAATGTTCTTTGTATTCTACATAAATTCACATCTTCTAAACTAGTGAGTTATATTCCTAAAAGATGAGAATACTTACATGTGAGAGAGCTGAAAGGCAGGTATGATTTCAATTTTGGAAACGGAGTGTTGGAAACTAGAGGGTGGAAAGCCCTATTACTCCTATTTAAAAGGGAAAGGCTTTGCCTGCAAATTGAAGACAGCATGGTATCATGGAAATAGCAACTTTTAAAAATCTTAGCTCTACCAGTTGTTCCCTAGGAACTTGGGCATCTAACCTCTCTTTGGCTTTAGTTCCCTCTGCTGAAAAATACAGGACACAGAATACCTGCCTCACTTGTCCAAGACCCTGGTTTCCATCCCCAGTACTGGGGGGAGGAAGAGTCTGCCCTAAGAGTAACTGGAGGCAATGATACTGAATCTACTAAATACGTAGCATCCAATACAAATAGAAAATATCTGTCTCCCTCTGGCAAGCTTGACATAAATCCTAGATGACATTCTAAAATAACCTAAAAAGAGCTGGGCAGTCCTAGAAGGCCAATTAGGCTTCACCAAGAAGAAGCAATATCAGACTCACCATGCATCTTATCCAGGTTAACAATCTACCCAGTGAGTAAAAGTAGTAGAAGTTATCTACATCACTAGTACTATTTTTTTAAAAATCAGCACTATGGTTTAAACTTTCATGAACACTAGCCAAGTGCTACCACCGAGCTATATCCCTGGGCCACAAATGTCTAGACTATGGAATTGGGGTGATACAACTTTTCCCTTTCTGACCCTACATTCACTGCCCTCATCCTCTACAAGTCAATTTGTAGCTCCTGACTTAGGGGAAATAAAAATCCTTGTGGAGGAAAAAAATTCACTTGGCATTGATGAAGTCTAAGATTCCAACTTAAGTAAACTCATTCTGTGTGGTTGGGCCATAGACAGTACACAAAGAAGGAACCAAAGGCAAGTAACAAGGAATAGCAGCAAGGTTCCTAGGAAACAACCACCGCACAGGAGGACACATCACAAGCCAGGTTCACCAGTGGAGCCTGGGGTGGGCAGGAATATAAGCCTGGTGCTGACCCCTCCTATCTGTGCCAACCCATGCCTGTCAGGGCAGATGCACAGAGTAGGCACTGTTCTCTGGTGCTGGGAGTTGGTGAATGGGAATGTTTATTAGACACGCAGAAAATTGGATAAGTACTGTACTGGTTGAGTGCTTTTATGTGGGTAACTCCCAGCAAAACTTTAAAACAATAATGCATCCTTCACATTTTAAGACTGACATCTAGAATTTTTTTCAATCATGAATTTAAATAACCACATAGAATGAATTAATTTCTGGCTTACCTTACATAATGACACTTTAAAACAAAACTGTTACTTCATTCTTTTAATTTATCCAGTAGAGTCTTAATAGCACACAGCAATTTGATATTCATTGTCATCATTTAAAAAAAATAAAAGAAACAATGCTTCTTTTAACAACTGGAAATTTTATATTGGAACTCCTGTTTCCTTGCAACATTTCTGACAATAACTATGCCAGAATTATGTAATATACTTTAATATGTAATTCTCCAATCAAAATAAGTATGTTTAGATTCATTTCCTGAGACTGCTTTTAAATCTTAAAAAATGTTCTAGTTTACCACTTATTACTAGTATAAAGCTGGCTGAAATAAGATGTATCAAAATGCTAACAAAATTTTATTAGAAAAGACATTTCTTAATGAGATAGATGACTTTCAAAAGATTAGTTCATAAATTCATAGATAAATATTACTTGTTGCTATAGTAAGATTTGAAATTAACTGTATTCCTATTTTTCTTTTTCTTTTTTGGTACCAGGGATTGAACTCAGGTCCTTGCGCTTGAGAGGCAGTTAAGCCAGAACCACTGAGCTAAATCCCCAGCCCTTATTTTTCTTTTTCTTTTGACCAGCACTAAGACGTTTTATCCATATAAACAGACAATTACAGCAACAATTTGCTACCCCACACTATACAATACACTAAGTCTTTCCAGAACCCCAGCTAAAAATCCTGGCAAACCTATCACCAAAAATTATCTTCTGTGATCTAGCACTTTGGCTGAAGGCAAAAGTCTGAAAACTACTTGACATGAAAATGTAGCTGGCATTTGCATATGCCCTACATGGAAACCTTCACTTGGAATCACAGCACTGCTTGGAATCTCCAGCTCCTACAACCCAGAACTGTGCTGTATTAACAGGGGAAAGGTGACTGCGTACAGAGAGGGAGGGAAAGAGGAAAGGCATGATTATCTCTGTCCTCAGGCAGAACAGTGCAAAGCAACAGGACCCAAGCAGCTCAGGATTTGTCAAGCGATTCCCTCAAAAGTAGCCATGTGCCTGCGTTTCAGCCACGTAGCAGTCTGTGTGCCACGGATATGCTTGCTAACTCGCTCATTACTACGGCAATAGCTAACACTGATTAGCCCCATATTATGTACCAATTGTGCTAATCTCTTCACATACAGTTACTTCATTTGACCCTTTGTAGAGAAGTAAACAGTTCCTTGCAGAAAGTCACAGCTCTTAAAGAGAAATCACAATGGGTCTGGACACAGACTGCTAGGCTTAGCAACTAACTTATAGTGGAGTGAATTCAGTTTGAGACAAACCTAGTTTAGCAGCCTGTAGAGCACCTGTTACTAGTACCTCTGGGTGTTTCTTCAATTATTTAAAGTGACTTATGGTTGGTAATATGCTAACAGCATAAAACTGGAAGCCACAAGTAAATTAGCATCCCTCACATGCTGACAAACTAGAACATCCTATATGATGAAATGTAATGTGGACAAGTACATGACAACTATATAGCAAAAATCTCTATTCTCATCTGTGTCCAGAAACAAACAAAGTCGCCTGAGTAGAAGATGGGGAACTTGAGTTCACTGAAGCACAATGTTCAGGAACATGGTGTGACTGCCAAGGACCTAACATGAGATTCTGCTGTATTTGAAAAACAGAAAAGGTTACTTATCCTCTTCTTTCCCTCATCAAAGCATACTCAATTCTACTTATTACATGGAACAACCACAGGGTGACTACTCCAAAGCTGACCATACAACGGGCAGCCAAGGTGAACTGTTATTTTCACTGGGCAGGGATCAGAGGGTGTGGGGAGCAAAGTATGATGGAAACACTTTTTTCTCACAGTGTAGGGCTGTTATCTTGAGGAAGGATTAGAGCTGTTCTCTAAAGTCCAAGGAGTCAGTGAGGAGAGATCTGCAGCCACTTGATGAGTGGGTGACACACAACATTAATCAAGAAGTGGAAATACACAACGTTGAAGGTTTCTAACAATTCTGTGGAATTTGAATAATATAATTTTCTGGCATAGCTGAGGCTTAAAATGTGTCTACGGAGTTCTGTCTGGAGCCGTTTCCAAACACACTGGCAGTGCATTGCCAACTCTAGCAATGACCTTCAGCATCCCTTGACTGCTGCTTTTAAGGTAACTCCACTAACACTGCCTCACAAGGACGTCACATTTATAACCCTAGCTGCCTGTTGTCCTGAAGTCTTTCTCAGTATCCTGGATTATCTACATCATTGCTCTACAGTCAGGACAGCCTAAAGTGACTTAAAACTATCAACATACAATAACCTGGAACTCTAACATGCACAATACTATTACTTGCATCTTCCAGGACACTTGCCTCTGTGGACACACAGCAGGCACACTTCTCCAGGGGACCCACTGTTGCTCACCTGGACCTGCCCTCTTTCACCTCATGGCCCCCAAATCAGAGCTCACCTTGCATTGAAAATCAGATCCTTCATATTTCATACACCCTGAAGCTAATGTGGTTTCTCCTTGGTCATCTTCTTCTATGATGGCAAAGCAATGTCCATTAGTTCTATGATTGAAAACAACAACAATGTAATTTAACATCAGAAAGTACTACTGAATAGGAAAGAAATATACACGGTCACATATATACATAAAATTAAGTAGGAAAATGAAAATAGTCATATAAATCAGATATGGACTGCAAACTCACAGGTAAGAAAACAAGAAAGTTAATTATCTCAATATCACTTTTATATAACTAAATTGTTTCAACCAACTAAGGAGACTATGGGTGAATTTTTGGGTTTCTTTTTAGCTATTTACAAAAAAGAAAACGTTTTCTACAATGAGCATCCTTTAATATTATTTAAAAATCATTAAACTTAAAATGTTAGAAAAATACTAGTTTTTTATTTATACTATTTTTTCTTTACTCTCCTTTAAAAACTATAATAAAATGTAACGTTAATAAAATAATAATCCATTACTTCATAGTAACAATGTTCTTGTACTCAAAAAAAAAAAAAAAAGCCTTTTGGTTCTTTGGAAAGATACCATATATAAATAATGAAAAAATTCAAACAATTTTAACAATTTTTAAAGTAGCACTAAATGCATTCCTCCTAACTCTGAAACACCCCTCCCACACCAAATACTTACATGCATGTGTTATTAACAGCGTCATCCGGGCAGTGTCCCGAGCAATAGCACTTTAAAAAAGGCAAGGTGTCCTCTGGTGCTAATGTCACTCCGTTCTCTGCCTTCTTCGGTTCAGAGTCTGATTTCACCCCAGTGCCATGGAGCATACTATCTAGATTTTGCCCTGTGTTGAAATAAGTAAGATGTCAATACAGCCTTTCTGGAGAGCTGATGGATTGTGAGTTCCAATGAGGAAAGTTTCTAATTTATCACAGTAACTGAAGCTAATATACTTTCTTTAAACATTTGTCATTCCTCTAACATTTATCATAATCTCTTATGCACATATTAGTGCACCAATTACTGTAGGCTATACAGAGGTGGGTGTGTCACAAGCTTTGCACTAAGGAAAGACAGAACACATGGTAAAATACGGTGATAATTTGTAAGAAAGGCACAAAATGGGGAGACTTCAAGGAGGCTGAGATGATTTCCAATCATTAAAAATAGATAATTTACAATTCTTTTTTCTATCTCTTTCAAAACTTTTTTATAAGTTTTTTTAGACAGGGTCTTGCTGTGTAGTCCAGCCTGCTGGTTTCAAACTTATGGCAATCCTCCTGCCTCAGCCTTCTAAGTGCTGGGATTACAGGTGTGCAACACCTTGCCTGGCTCAAAACTTTTGACTGGTTCTTTTCTTTTTAAGGTCCTTAATTTGTGCCTCTCTATAGAGATCCTTTCATGTCAAGGTTGTTAATTTGAATCCAGATCACATTTCCAGAAACTGAAGGTCACAGGAGGCCAGCCACTATCCTGTGGAAAAAGAACAGGGCTCCAGTAGCAGTATAGAGGCCTAAGTGATAGGTGGTGTCACATGTAGTACTGAATCTTTCAGGTTGGGGTGTGGTAATGAAACCTGTACTTTAATGTGCACATTCAGGTCACCAGGCAGAGGCTGGCTGTGGGAAAAATAGCCAACCAGAGCCTAGTCGCAGTCCTTCCAGTGGAGAAGAGCCAACAGTGTTTTGACATCACTTCTTTTTTTTTTGGTACCAGGGATTGAACTTGGGTCCTTGCGTTTGCAAGGCAGGCCACTGAACCGCTGAGCTAAATCCCCGGCCCTTGACATCACTTCTTTTTGGTGCTTCCTTGATTTATCTCTTCAGCCATGACTTAATCTTAACTTAAATGGAACTCTTGACTTATTTTAAACTTGGTTTTACTCAAGTCTTCTGACTTAAAAGATGGACAAGTGGTGAAGAGCAGAGAAACAGTCTCTCCAAGACTTGGCGTCCTGACACTGGGACAAAGCAACATGAGGAAGAGAAGGAGAAAACTGGCTCCCCGGGATCCAGTAAGTATCTAAAGCAAGAATGAACCCACAGACAGGGACAGGGAACAGAGAGATTTCAATGAAGAAGAAGGAGGTAGTAAGCGGTGCTTTCTCTCTCAGCCCTGACCCATGGCATGGGAAGGGCAGTTTGAACCTGCAAACAAATGCATGATGACTACCAGCAACTCAAGTCCTCCAAGAGAGAAATGCACCAGTGGAATGGAGTAGTGAATTGCAGTGGCTGATGAGTTATTCAGGTTCAGAAATCACCCAGGAGAGGGCAACTGACCAGTAGCCATCTTGGAAGAGGGGCTGATCAAGCTAAGAACTCAGAGCAGCTGTGGGCTGGCTCCTTCAGGGTGAGGGAGAAATAAATTCAAGTCAACAGGAGGAACAAAGTTCAAGCTGGCAGGAAACACCCAAATTGTTGCAGGCTGAATAAAACAGGCTTCAGCCTCAGAACAAGAAACCAGCCTAAGCCTCAGAACTAAAGGTACAGACTTGGTAGGTTTATCTACTACCATGCCATAAATTTAAAGCTGTCTTGTTGGCATTAATCAACTTGGATCTGGACACTCTTTGCCCACTCTACCAGTGACAGCAGAGACACATCTCAGAGTGCACTGTTTTCTTTTCTTGTTTTTATTTATTTGTTCCTGTTTTTATATAAGTATGAACATTGTCTCTAGTTTTTTGTTGTTGTTCTGTTCTGAATTTTTCTTCCTTTCTTTCCTGCCTTCCTCACCCGTTCCCCAAAGTTTGTGTAATCTGTATCCTTCAGCCTTGTTTCTAAACTCTTCCTTTTCTTCTATTTCTCTACTTTTCCCCCTACCCTCTTTTAAATTTTCTCCCATGAATGTGAAATTGCCATACTGAGGGCATATTTACTGTATACATTTTTCTGGTTTGTGTTAGTTTGTTATATAACCATAAGTATAGTTTATATGGTTAAAGGTGGCAAATTAATTGTTACCACAGTTCTGTGTTTGATACTATTCTTATTATTGTTGTACTACTTTAGCCAAGATGACAAAATTGTTCTTCCTGGTAAGCCAAGACTGAGACTGCCAAGGGTCATAAACATTACTATAGGCCAGTGCCAGGTCAAATAGGCAGCAATTTTTCACCCCAAATGATGAATGTAACTGTACTGTATACTTAAAAAGTACCAATAAACTCAGTAAGATTTCTAAAAAACTGAGAAGACACTTAAGATGCAATCCCAAACTTCCAGTTCACCAAAGGCAAACCTAGGGGGCAATGAAGAGGAACAATTACAAGTCCACCCACCTGGATTCTCTGAACTGATAATAGTAGAAATAACAAAGCAGATGAATGGGGCTCTAGAAAAAATCAAATCAGAAATAGTTTCTCAGATAATTACAGAGATGGTAACCATAATGAAAAACATGGTTAGTGACTCCAGACCAGATACAGATAAAAAACAGAGGAGCTAGGAAAATGATGGAAACCATGAGCACCCAACATAGGAAAGAAATGGAATCCATGAAACAGATTCAAACAGATATCCAGGAGATTAAAAATTCAATGGAAAGTATTTGCAGCAGAATGAGCCATTGTGATGACAGACTACCAGATATAGAAAATAAGATTGCACTCGGTGACCATGAAAAGAAAGATCTCTTAAAAATGGCAAGGGTGGCCAGGGATTTAGCTCAGTGGTTCCACCGTCTGCCTTCCAAGTGCAAGGACCTAAGTTCAATCCCTGGCACAAAGGAAAAAAAAAAACGCGAGAGACTGTCAAGGAAAAATCAATCCAACAGCTCCTAGGTGATGCAAAGAATAGTAAGAGTGACTGGCATCGATGAAAAAGCAGGAGATAGTGGGGTTTTTTGTTTTGTTTTTTGTTTGTGTCAGAGATCGAACTCGGGTCCTTGCACTTGCAAGGCAGGCAGCACCACTGAGCTAAATCCCAGGCCCCTTTCTACCAGTTTTTAAAGTAAATGAATTCATTAGCATCCTTCAGTAGTAACCAGGTCATTTTGCTTTCTGAGTGTCATGGACTTAACCCACTGCAGTTACTCCCCTCACTAATACTCATGTTGTTCCATCTCTGGTTAGTTCAAAGTAGTCCCTGGATCCTTCAGGCTCTACGCTTCTTTAAGGCCCAGACCTTCTAAAATTACCTTGTTCTTTTCCTGACTGACTTAAAATCAGAGATTTCTCAAGGAATCCTTGATCCCTCTAGTGGAAAATGATAATGAGAGACCACAACCAGCTGTCAGAGGTGCATGTTGCTACCAGCTTGATCAGTGTAAAAATATATAGAAAACAATAGTTCTATGTTTTTTTACTTTAACCATATCCATTGTATAGAGTAACTACAGAGCACTAGGTATTATTTTAAGCCCCTGGTGACGAAAATGATAAAAACAAAAATCCCTTATCTATTCAAGGTAAGTCATAGAAGAAAAACAATAAAAACCAAAAGATACTGACAATGACATTGCTTTAATATTTATTCATAGATAAATACATGACACCAAATAAAGCAGACTCCTTTCCTAGCATAGGAAGAGTAGAGAGGGCCTCCAAGCCAAGACCATCAGAGCCAAGAAAAGAGGCAAGGCAAACATGAGTGGCCATAGGCCAGGCTGTTTCAGAAGAGCACAGGTAAGCAAGATACTTAACTGTGTTTAAAGCACGTAACAGACTTCAGGTAGAGACCAGACGCAAACAGATGTAAGACTGACTAAAATCTTAAAGGAACTGTACTGCCAAAGATATCCCAAAAGTCAGCTGATTCAGTCAGGCTCCAAGTTTTCAACCTCTAAGGCAATTTCTGGCCTCCACACTAATGGGAAGAAGATCACCAAAGCTATTTGGTCTCCAGAAAGACTGTCTCCAAGAGCATCTCACGGGTGGCCATGAAGGCAGGGACAGATGAGCAAGGAACACCAGAGACAAGAGAGGCCTTCCCAGAAACAAAACGCAGTGCTGTCAGACAGCCTAAGCATCTTTAGTTTGTTGCACAACAGCATCTACTGAGGTTACCTCCAAATTCTTCTTCCCATACATGGGAATGCATGTAGCATTTATCCTCCTTCTTCATCAGTGAATTCTGGGTACCCACTGATAATTTTCTCTGAGCCACACATGTGGGGCCACCAAGATAAAAACTTGGATGGAAGGTGAGGGCTGCTTGCTTGCCCAAAGTCCTTGACTTGTAGCCAGGTGCACTAAGAGGATGAAACTCTAGGGCCCTTTGAGAAGGAACTGAACATTTCATACCAATGTCAGCACTTTTAGGCTTTGAGTGGAAAGGAGTATCTGGTGTTATATAGACCAGTGTGGCGCCCTGCAATAGATTTATCAGCTATTTTTCTCCCCTTCACCTCATGGGCAACAAGGGAGGGTAAACACACAGGAGTGCACACACTGCTGCTGCTGGTATGAGCCCTCCCCTCCTCAGTGACTCAGGGACACACAGCCTGAACCTCCGCACAGATTGCTGACGGCCTAATCCAACAGCTTCAGCTCCCTTCCTCTTTCCAATGTTCTGTTTATGGCAGGGCAGGTAATTGATTGTGGCCACTAAGATGAGAAGGGTATCTGCTGAGGGGTTCCACAGAAGCTTCCTTACCACTTTAAAAAAGCCAGGAAAGGAACCCCAATCCTCTTCTCCCACAGAACGCTGTTGATTCTCAGTTGCCATGTCTGCAACTGATTCTCAGTTGTGATGCCTGCATCTGCACTGTGGCTGTGAAGTTAGCTAACCATGGGCTGGGCTGGCATATGGAAGCTGGAAGTGCTCTCTATCAGAGAAATTTAATTTTACTAAGATATTTTTTTTTTTTGCTTATATCTGATAAATAATTACCAAGTTACCCTATCCAGTAAAATTTTATTATAGAACAACTTGAATTAGGGTAGAAAATGAGAATTTTATACCATGTTGCCTATGTGTGATCAAGGCAGATTAAATTTATCTGTATGTTAAAACAGAAATTACCTTGACAGCAAGGCAGTAAATATAAAGGACACTTAATTTAACAGCTCATCTTTATAAATGTAACAGCTTTGGTTAATGGTGATCAACAGGGCATGTAACATGTTAAAGGTGCTGTACTACATAATTTGATAGAAGTTGCTTTGGTAAGAGGGCTCTTTTTCTAAGCATGATAATAATAAAGCTACTGTTATACCTAAGGCAAAATACAAAGAACCTACAGATTTCCTTCTATGTGCATGCTTTAAAAACAAAAATAAAAAAAGTTTTATGCTATTAAGCATGTTTCTTGCTGTATGTAGATATTATTACATGTTGCTGTGAGCAATACTTTATGAAAAAGCAAAGTGTTAAAAATTTAAGACAATTACATTGTTGATCAGTTCTACCTAAAATCCCTTTGTAAGCAATTCTCTCTCCCCAGCTTAAAATATTACCCTAATTAAACCATTTAGAAAAAATTGAAGTGCAAACACAGTCCATGTGATCTTCAGAGTCACCACTATGACTTCCTGTTTTTGAGTTCCAACTCCTGAACACACAGTAAAATCACCACACTGGTCAGAATAAACTTTCAGGGGGGCCGGGGACTTAGCTCAGTGGTTCCACTGTCTGCCTCACAAGCACAAGGTCCCAAGTTCGATCTTCAATACCAAAAAAAAAAAAGATTACACAAAAGAAAAAATGGGATTTTGCCAGGGATTTAGCTCAGTAGTTCTGCCACCTGCCCCACAAGTACAGGACCCAGAGTTCAATCCCTTAAAAAAAAAAAAAAAAGAAAAAAACTTTCAGTACTCTATGAAATAATCTCTTCACAGTCAAGTACCATATTTCTAGAGTCTTTTCATAACAATGAAATTACTATTATTTATAATTATTTATTTTTTTAAAGGAGATAGGAAGTGTAAAACTGAGCCTTGAGTATCTGTTACCTCCTATCACACAAACTAACTTATGTGCATTATTTTATTTTAATTTTTTGAGACAGGGTCTTGCCTTGTAGCTCAGGCTAGACTTGAACTCACAGTGATCCTTCTGCCTCAGGCTCAGAGTACTGGGGTTACAGGCATACCTGACTGTGTGCTTTACATATGGTGCTTTAACTCAGTGAATCCTCATGTGCCCTAATGCAGTATACTACAAAGCCTCTGCAAAAGTAGAAAAAATAGGTTCAGAGAGGCTGACATTTATAAAATACTTGAAAAGGTTCTACTATAATTAAATTCAAAAGCCATTTGGCATGTGTTAGCTCTCTACTTACAAGCTGGGTTGGTATGTTGGCCCTAACTATTCAGAAAGAGATAGCAACTGAAAGAATGGATGAAAAAAATGAGTGCTTTTCTACACAGACTTACTAAAACAATTATGATTTACCTTGGACGTGAGAAATGATGAACAGATAGGCTCCCAATAATCTGATGTAAATATAGAGCTGAGTCATTGTTCAATTTTAATGTTCCATACACTGTCACCTTGAATAACTGTTATTCCACTAATTCAAATGACTTTATTCAATGAGATTTTCTTGTTGAGGACGAAATCACTTGACAATGATTCTACCTCCCACTGCTTTCTCCTGACTCCTGCAAGACAAAAATATTAACAAGGCTATCAACATAAATGGATTTTGAAGAGTCTTCAAAGACAAAAAGAGGAAAACAAATGCACAAACATACCTTTAAATGATAAAAAAAACATTTTTAAGACTATTTTTGTTAAAAAAAAAAAATCAAGGCCCTGTAATTCCAACACTTAAATAATTTAGTAACAGGTTACAATCTTTTCTGATCTCAGATCAGCCATACATAAACCAAGAATAATACACTAATAATCTTGATAGGCCAATGCAGTGTCATGTACCTGTATCCCAGCTACTTAAGAGGCTCAGGCAGGAGGATTACTTGAATATAGGAGTTGAATGCCAGCCTAGGCACAAAGCAAGACCATAACTCCAAAGACAGACAGACAGACAGACACACGCATGCACGCGCGCGCGCACGCACACACACACACACACACACACACACCCCATACACATACACACACCTCATACACATACATGTACAGCACAAAAAAAGGAAAGAAGGAAAGAAAATCCCTTCAACAGACTTCTCTGGCTGCCCTAAAATGTTGAAGTTACTTTATTACTATCAAGAATGTCCACAGGCTGGTGATTTAGCTCAGCAGTTCGGTGGCCTGCCTTGCAAATGCAAGGACCCGAGTTCAATCCCCAGTACCAAAAAAGAATGTCCACAAATATTTTTTTAATTAAACAGAAAGGGTTGAATTTAAAATGTAAATTATCAGATGGGTATGGTGACACACCTATAATCCCAGTATTACGGTGAAGATTCCAAGTTTAAACCCAGCCTAGGCAACTTTGTGAGACCCTGTGTCAAAATACAGTGTAGATAAACAAACAGATCGACTGATCTGGGGATTACACTCACTGGTAGTACTCCCCTGTGAACCCCAATACCACCATCAAAAAAAAGTTATTCATCAATATTCATTCAAATCCTGGTGGATTTAATAGAAATACCTTGAATCTTTCTGACAATTTTCCCGTAGATAGAAAAGCAACCTAGAAAACCATACATATTTCAGTAGCATATTTCATTATCAAGATATAAACAGAAATGTCTTAAGTAAAATTAGTTTCCAAAATACTGCTAACCCGATTTACTTGGGATAAAATTGAGCTTTTAATATAGAATACACGAAATACATGTCTCCAACTAAGTTTTTTGTTGTTGTTGTTGGTTTTTTTTTTTTTTTTTTTTGGCAATTACCAGGGATCAAACTTAGTACCTTGTGCTTGCAAGGCTGGCTATTATTAATATGGACAGTGAACTCTTAAAGGCCTCAAAGTAAAACTCCTAAGTAGGCAGCAGAGAAAAAGTTTCTTGGCACCAAGATAAATATAATTCTGTTTTTCACCCATCCAAGTTTTTCAAGCAGTTGGTTTTATTGATCTCACTCTGAACTAGTCCTGAGCAGAAAAGATTTTGCTTCTATATGACACAATTATCTCCAGTGTGATTTCTAAAATAAACCTGAGCTTTCTACCCAAAGGCTTTTCACTTTATTAGCTTTCCAAAGGCATTTACAGTTTGGAGGTGAATAATGTTTAGAGAGAGGTATCATTTATAAGTACATTTTATATAATGCTTAGTTAAAAAATCTTGGCAATTTCTTCTTTCTCTACTATTAAGAAAACTAAGTGGCTTCCCAGCACCACATACTGCTGAGAGGATGAGATGCAAAGTCTATAGTAATAATTACAGAATAATGCCTGCAGTGTGACTTTGCAGCATTCCTGTGGAAAACTCGCCTCTTAAAATGACTCACTTGTGGTTCTGGTGATGCTTCTTCCAGGTTTAGAATTCAAGGGGTGTTTCCAGTGTGCCTCCAACTCTACCTTCTCCCTGTTTCTATTTCTGTGTTGCATACCTCTCTCAGAAGCATCCTACCTGCCCAATCCCTGTGCATGGCCTCCTCCCTGCTCCAGGCCTGTTCCTCCTGCAACTGCCACACCCAGCTGGGCAGCTACTCTCCCCTGACCTCCCTCAGCTCCCTACTGCACCCCCCCTTCATGTTTCCTCATCCCCTCATCCACACTCTCACTCACCTGCAGCTGCAGGGTGACTACTCAGTTTCTGCTTCAAGGAGCTCATGGTCCTGGGGTAGGGTCATGGATTCTGCCTACTCACTGTTTCCGAGTCCCTGTCCCCTCATCCGTTTTTTTAAAGTTAAACATCTGGGCTTGGCTCTCACTAGAGCTACCAAGGCATCCTACAGAGCCAGCAAAACGACTGTAAGTGCAGGCCACAGTCTCTGTGCAATTCCTTCCCTAAAGAAGTGCAAATGCTGGATTTGCCTCAAGTATGTACCAGAACCTGTCTGGATGACTTTTCCCATCTTTATAACCAAAATGACATTTGTCAGCTCACAGTTATTTTGAGAACTAGGTGAGACATTGAACTCTATGTGCCAATTCTACAATGAACACTTTGCCAGTACTAACTTACCAAATGATCACAGTTATCTTGTAAGAAAAGTACATTTATTGAGGAAATAGGCATGAAGATTTTAAGGAACTTATCAAAGACCACACTGTTGGTAATAAGGTTATAATTCAAAAGAAGTCTAATTCCAGACTCTTAGCTAACCTACAGTGTCCTGCTGGGTAATTTATATATGTGACATGATGCAAAACATATATGATCAAGAGTTTAGGAGTGTGTAGTACAGAGTATGTACTCAGTACAATGTCCCTCTTCCCAAACTGTCTGTAACACAATTGCCAGCCTGGCACACGGACAGCACCTGGAGCAGTCATCAATTCTTAGCTGACCATAGGCTCACTACTGAGCTGCACTTACATAAGCACAAACCTACCAAGCACTGACAGAAACATACCACTATAATCAAAGAGTAAGCACCTCACCTAATCCATCTAGTGAGGCCACTAAGGAGAAAAATGATGGTGTGCAAAGGACACTGGAAGCATTCCCCTTGAGATGTACCTCAAAGAACCAAGGGTCTCAAGAGTAAAAAGGAGCGAAGGAAGTATGCATGCATCTTTGTCAAGGATGTGACCAATCATGACAGAAAAAGGAGCCCAGACTGATTAAATGATATAGGGCAGATCTTTCCCGATGCTCAAGTCCTGTGTAAACAGTTTTCTTGCCATCAAATATTAATTTATTCCCTAATTATAAGTGCTTACCTTATGTATGATTCTATATTAGATAATAATACAATGACAAGAGCAAAACATACCCAGCATTCATAGAATTCATAATCATTACATGAGATAATTAAAACATTTTGACATGGAACAAGACAATACAAACAAAACATAACGTTAAGTGCAAAGAAAGAAAAGTATTAGGTCCTGGAGGGTGCTGTTACTCTAGATAGAGGGGTGAGGGGAGCAATGCTGAGAAGTGACATTTAAGTTGTGATCTAAAGAACAAAGTCATACTCTGGTTTCTCTTTAGATCACATAAATCTTTCACCTTTTAAAGAACAAAGTCAGCCAGGTAAAGAATGAGGTGGGCACATGCTGAAGACTGAAACTGGACCCATTATCTCTCACCACACACTAACCTAAAATTAAAATGGATCAAAGATCTAAATATTAAAACAGAAACACTAAATCTGCTAGAAGATAATTAAGTAGAACAATTAAGGACATAGGAGTAGGCAAAGACTTCATGAACAAAACGCAGACCAAACAGGAAATACTACAAAAAAATCAACAACTGGGACCTCATCTTATTAAAAAGCTTTTGTATAGCAAGAGAAACCAGTAACAGAGTGAAGAGACAACCCACAACATGGGAAAAAGTTTGTCAGCTGTTTCTCAAAGGACTAATATCTAGAATATAAAGAACTTAAAAAAAAAACAAAACAGACTCCCCAAATTTAAAGACTCAATCCAAAAAGGGGTATTTGAAATGAATAGACACTTCTCAGATGAAGAATTAGAAATGACAAATAAATACAAGAAAAATGTTCAACATCACTGGTCATTTGAGGGATGCAAATTAAAACAACTAACTCTGAGATTCCATCTCATTCCAGAAAGAATGGCTGTTACCAAGAAATCAAACAATAACAAATGCTGGCACAGCTGTGGGGAAAAAAGGAACCCTTCTCCACTGCTGGTCGAAGTGTATAGAATGGCGCAACCACTGTGGAAATCAGTGTGGAGATTTGTCAAAGACCTAAAACCAGAGGTTCCATTTGACCCAGCTATTCCCCTTCTTGGTATCTTCCCAAAATAATGAAAAGCATCCTACCACAGTGATATATACACATCCATGTTTATAGCAGCACAGTCTGTAATAGCTAAATCTTGAATACAGCCCAAATGCCCATCAACTGACAAGTGGATAAAGAAGAAGTGGGTTGTTTTTTAATACAACGGAGTACTACTTGGTCACAATGAAGGATGAGCTTGAGACATTTCTAGATAAACGGATGCACCTTGAGACCATATTAAGTGAAATACATCAGACACACATGTTTAAATACCACACTGTTTCTCTGGTGTGAGAAAATGAAAGTGGAAATAAGGACTAAAATGTACAAAAGATATTGGGAAATGGGAAAATGTTCAAATGAGAAGGGGAACAAAGGGATGGTGAGAGAAGAAGGAAGAAAGAGACAAGAAAAAAAGTTTAAAAAGACAGGGAAAAATGAAAACAAAGCTTTTGTACATAGAGAGGGGAGGGAGCTCAGGGGATAGGGAATGGGAAAAAAGAGGTGGGATGGATCATGTACAGGTGCAAATTCCCTATGATGAACGTTATCAGTATATATGCCTAAAATGTACCAATAAATGCTTTGCTATTAAAAACAATAGTAGAGTAGAGGTATAGCTCAGTGTCAAGATCCTGGGCTTAATCTCCAGGACCATTAAAAAAAAGTGGGGGAGTAAGTCCTCTAAAAAAAAAGAATGGGGTGGGTTGGGGGAGCTCTAAGCATAGGAAACAGCCTGTGCAAAGATCTTGAACAGAGTAAAGCGAAGCAGGAATGATGTTCTGAAATTTTAAGAATAAGGGATAATATG